ATGTTATTGTTGAAGTTTGAGCATGTTATCACTTATATTTTCAGAAACACGAAAGATAAAAAAAAAGCATTGAACAATTAGAATTTAGCTGTGAATATTTTCGGTCGACACTGACGCATTATTAGTCAGTTAGGAAGAGCGTGCTTTGAACCTACGCGCCAGGACCGTCTATCGGGCTGTATGAGTTATCACGTCCGTAGAAAAATGTATAGGTATTCGACAAAATACATTTCTTGTGTGGTGATCGAACTCGCGTCTCCCGCAAACAAAGCGAAGGGTCTGGTCCTGACTGCACAGACACTAGTACTAGTAATAAAGGCTTCGTACAATTTCGCTTACTAAATATTGATGAAGAGAGAAGCAGAGGAAAGTAGAAAATGCGATCAAACTTAAAGGGTTCAGGGAGCAAATAGCATAATAAGTCACAATCTTCCATTCGCAATTTTAAAATTATGATCTAATGTTTGCCTAATATAGTATTCCATCAAGATCTTTTTATTTTAAAATTAGAAACGGTTTATGTCATGACACTAGAGACACTGTATTATTTCAAACTGTTTTACGCGGCAATAGCAGTCAGCACTAGTCCATATGATCACGGAAAAGAAAGTCTATAGTCTTCGATATTTTCCCTGTGGCTGTAGTCGTTACTACCCTAAGTTCTTCAACTGCCTGTTCTATGGAGTTAAAACGCACATGGTCACAATAACAGTTCTATAAGGATGTATAAAGAAAAACCATCTAACCGTCTGCAAAGAATGGCACGTGGGACTGGTGAGAAAAGATGTAATTCTTAGACCGGTTTGGGCTAACTGACGTGAAAAAATGTTCAGTGACTATGATCACCAAAGTATTATATTATTGTTTTATGTTTGGAAAGAGTTTTAAAACACTTGCAACACAATTAGGCCATACAAGTGCCGAGGGTTAGAGGAGTTACAAGAAAGTATTTAACACAATAAAGGACGAGGAGAAATCAGGACGCTAGATGTTAAATAGGAAAAAAGGGAATAAACCTTATAAAGTACCCGCTAACCACCAACAAAGTGTTTTGAAATCTAGAACGTTCAATAAATTTGCTTAAGATGCCACTGGTCCTTCTAGACTGTGCCAAAATCAGTGCAACGATAACACTCGTTTTGAGTGACCTGTTTTTAGAGGCTACAATAAATACGGTAACAGGTAACAATGTTGTGGCCTTGCTGTCTCTGTGAAAATGGTCCAGATGACAGATTGATGCTACCGAAGGATAAGAGGCTTTCTCCTTGCTGTCTTTGTTCATGATTGATTTCTTCTTAGCCCACCGGGTAAAAACTGATCCGAAGCAAGAGTGAGGAAAATGGGGCTGGGGAATGGGGGAGCGCAGGGTTGGCGACAAGCGAGGGCAGAGATCAGAGAGGAAGAATGAAAAACAGGCAAAGAGAGGGAAGAAAGACGCAGAGAAACAGACATTAAGAAAAGCGCAGACAAAAAAGAAAGTAGACACAGATGCAAAGAGACAGACAGACAGACGTCCTGATAGATACCTAGCAGTCGAACTCGGTTTGAATCCCGAACGGGCTATTCTTGAAAGAGGAATGTTTACAATTTCAAATTCTCATGGCTCTTTATACTTTGTGCAGTTGTAAAGGAAATAACAGTACTGTTTTTTGAAAGCATCTAGGACCCCTACCATATCATATCGTGCCACCCCGTACCATACCGTACAGCACCGTGCCGTATCGTATCGTACCGCATCGTATCGTGCGTGCCGTGCCGTGCCGTGCCGTGCCGTGCCGTGCCGTGCCGTGCCGTATGATACTGCTTCATGATAATAATGTGGTATTTACTACAGGGTGGCCGCAAAAAAAGTCTGTCTACATTTCCTTAACAATGTCTACATTTATAAACGTGTTGAAATGTGATAGTTCCATAGGACGTCGTTATGGACACAAAGTGTGCACATTTCACGTCCATATTTTTCAATGATAATGTGCCTTAGCACACTTAAAGCATTACGCCTGAATTCAGAAAATGTGAGCTTCAATCGTTGTCAAGGAGACGACAAACCTCAAGGGCTGAAAGGAATACCAGTAATACAAAGGATTTAATCGAAGAATATCATGAAATGTCAGCGAGACAGCTGATTCGTCCGATAGGCAACCTGAAGCAAGAGTCCATCCAGAGAATATTGCGACATGATCTGCATCCGTATCGTATACCAGTAAAACAAAAACTGAACCATAAAGACATCGCATCACGCACCGACACGAGTTAGCGGTTCGTTTATCAGTTTGACAGAAACTCAGATTGAGTGAACGAAACAGACGTACGGTCTTCGGATGAATTACGGTTTAATTTAAGTAGACAAATCAAATCTTAAAAAGTCTGTAATCTGGATCAAACACCCTACCGATTTGTGTCCTTGAGCGCCCACGTCATGCGAAGAGACGTGCACAGCCTGGGTGGCACTCAGTAGTTATGTAATTATTGATCCACTCTGGTTTGAGGAGAAAAGCAAGACCACCAAAGAGACAATTATTGAAAGGTACGTCACAGTCCTTTCAACAAATCCGAGAAGTGCTTAAGGAGGAGGCAGCAATAAGAAGCAGCAAAGTTTCAGCAGATTGAAACCACATCCCTTACAACCAATGATTCCATAGACTTGACTCCACAATAATTTCTTGAATCAAGTCATCAGCAGCACAACGATTTGCGAGTGGCTTCCTCACAGCCCGGACCTGAACCTGTTTGATTTTTTAAGGCGGTTTCATATCGACAGTGTTTACCAGCAACACTCTTAAACAATTAACACATTGAAAGAGAACATTACCAATCAAATTCGCTACGCTGACCTGCAAGCACAAGTGCGGGCAAGTGATTCGTTGCTTTAAAAAATGAGAGCATGAATGTTTACCGTCAGAGGGACAAGTTGTTGAGCACATCACTTAAAAGCATCTCTTTGATTCGAATTTTTACAAAACGTTAATGTTAATTAATGTAGGTGTAAAAACTGTTTAAATTATTGATTCAAAAGTGTCAAGGCTTTTTACTGAGCATGTCAACGTGTTACAAATTTGCTGCATCAATTGCCAGGTTTTCTTTTTACTCGAAAAACTCAAATTTTGGTGGGGGGTTTTAAAGTACCCATTTAAAATGCCTTGTTCAATTTGTTTTACAATTTTGACACACCTTGTTCAAATAAATAGATTTGAAAATTCCAAAGTTCTTATTTGAATACGTAAAAATTGTTTGACTTATTTGAATTTTAATGCGGACATATTTTTGCGTCACCCGGTGCAATATCTTCGGGAAGTTGGAAATTCAAAATTCAATTAAGGTTGTTGGTTTAACTAGCTCTAGCAAACTGATACTATGCACATCGTATTCGAATTATTGGATGGACAAAGAAAAAAAAAAGAAGATTTTACAGTTGAAAACAATTTCGTTGACAGCAGAATTGATTTCTCCGAGTATTTTTTCCAGCAGTGTCAGCGATACACACGTGGGAACACATCTCGAACCGGAGAGTAATTATGACACACACTCGACGTCCATCAAGATCTGCTGCAGTAGCAGTACTGCCTGATCTGACGGTTCTTGTCGAGGATGCAGGCCGGGTCGTCTCCGTATTTATTGATCCTGCTAATCTCTTTCTCGGTCAAGTCAAAGCTACCTTTGATTACGTCTTGGGTGACGGTCACCTCGAAATGACCCCCGCCGGGCGTCGTTATAAAAGTCAGCTGGTAGAGCGCCATTTCGTTTTTATTTTTGTCGCTCATGTCGATGGCATATATCCCCCCGTTCGAGTCAGTTTTCTTGAATTTCAACACTTCCGCTCTCGTTTCCAGCTTGGTTGCCATGGTGACGTTAGCGACGGCCAGTAAGGCACAGTAGGAACGGTACTCCTTCGTGAAACCGTTGATAGTCAAGAGAGCGGTGCCCAAGGCCTTCACAACGTCCTTGTCACCCACAGGCACGTTTTTCCACGCCAGACATGCGCACCAGTGCGGGGCTATATCCGCGTGCTCACACGAGCGCTCCAAAGGAATCTCTTTGAACAGACTGATGCCGCGGGCTAACACATTTCCCTTTCCGGCACCGGAGAACTTTAAGAAATCTTTAAAGGTTTCGTGCAGGTCAAAGGGCGTGGTCAGTCGTTTGGTGTTGGTTCTGAGGTTTCTCATGGCGTCTGGATACTTGCGCTCGAACCAAGGCGGGAAGAGGAACGAAAAGTAGGGCAGGCGTTCTTCCTGCTTGCCAGACCATGTCGATCGTACCTTATTGTACCTGGCTCCGTGGTCTCCCATCAGAATGAGGACTGTCTGATTGAGGTACCCGCCATCGTGTAGGAATTTCACCACGTCTCGGATATCGTCGTCCATCTGAAACGAAACATAATCCTTGTAATTATGTGGATACTTGAATACACAATATGCCGTGAACACGTAAATACGTATAGCACCAATAAATATGTATGAACTCGTACAACATGCATACATTAAAAAAGAATACTTTTGAGCATCTTTCGGAAATTGTTTGTTGTCATTGTAGATTAACATTTATCGACCTTTCAACTCCTTCTTCGACTTAGCTCTCTTTCTTTCTTTTTCGAACTTTTGCTCCCCCTCCCCCCTTTTTCTCCCTGCCCCACCCCCATCCCTTCTCCCCTACCCATGTCTCTCTCTTTTCTCTCGTTCTCTCTCCCTCTCTCTCCCTACTCCCATTCTCTTCTGTGAAATGTTGGTCAGAGTATGTTCTATTTTCGAGAGAAATTGAGATTCAACAGCTGTTGAACGTTCCTGGGAATTTCCAACACTCACAAATTAGTAGAAAGAAACAAACCACTAAACGAACCTATTATAGTGCGATTAAAAATTCGTGGCGCAAAGCATCCTCAAATATCTCTTTAACTGGTAAATCAATGCCACGCATGCTTTGCACAGAAGTTTGTATCAAATTTTCTTAACTTAATCACATTTTCCCACAACAATTGAGGCTAGATTCAAAACCTTTTCTTCATAAATTTATATAAAATAATTTAAATCTCAGTCATGCAAAAATGGGATTCTTTACAGCACTTCCCGCTTTTCTCACGCATTTTGCATACGCATATATGGCTAACGTCATAGCTCACCAATGACACTTTTTAGTAGCAAAATTTGCTGCAAGAAATTACTTTTATAGTGAAAACATTTTTGCTCTAAAGGTTATCAAACATGCGTTCAATAAACATAGTGTCGAGATTAGAAAAAAAATGATGGACTTGCTGTTAAAAGTGATATTGCCACAGCTGTAAACCTTTTAAAATCTGTAGAAAGCAACCACTCGGATTTTTAAAATTAATATTTAATAAGGAATTTTCTCGAACACAACTAACAAGCGTTTACAAATTGATACAAGTCATAGTGCAAAAACTGGCGAGTACATGTTCGATAGTTTAGGAGATATTTGACAATAATTCCGCTACGGATTTGTGACAGCACTATAGGATTTACGCTGGTATATTGATTCCCATGTCAATCACTGAGGTCCATCTCCGACAGGACATAGCCGAATAGAAGGTTCATATAAAGTGTCTTTCTCTTGGACAGAACATCAGACCGAGCTGAGGCTCGAACTCTGGAACCGGCAATCTGACGATTACGGGCCCGGTAGCCTAACCTACAAAAGAGATGAACAAAGAAGAGTGGAAAATAACAGCAAGGGCCCACCAATCATGAAAGAAGAAGTTATCAAGGCACTACGAAAGATGAAGAATGGGAAAGCTGCGGACAACATTACCACAGAGATGAATAAAGCGTTAGAAGAACTTTGGAGTCACCACACTGACAAAACTTCTTAACAACATGTATGACACTGGACATATTCCATCAGACTTGTCAAAATCTATCTTCATAGCTTTACCAAAGAAACCTAATGCAAACGAATGTGAAACTCATCGTACCATCAGCCTCATGAGCCACATAACAAAAATACTACTCAGAATAATTATGATGAGAATACGAAATAAAATTCTCCCAGAAATAGCCCAAGAACAGTGTGGATTTATTGAAGGCAAAGGCACTGTAAATGCCATATATTATTTATATTATCAGAACAACAATAGAACGCGCCCTAGAAGTTCAGAAAGATTTTCATTTATGTTTTATAGACTACACTAAGGCATTCGACAAAGTTATGCACGACAAGATTATCGACATGCTGGAAGTCCTCAATATTGACGGGAAGGACTTAAGAATTATCAAGAACAAGTACTGGGATCAAACTGCTGCAATGAGAATAGAAAACGACATCAGCGAATACATACATTAAAAGAGGAGTCAGACAAGGATGTGTACTTTCTCCAGATTTGTTCTCTCTGGATAGTGAAAATATCATGAGACACATAGAAGAAATGCCAGGTATCTCGATAGGGGGGCATAATATAAACAATCTAAGATATGCAGACGACACAGTCCTAATAGCAGAAGATGAAGAACACCTACAGAATCTATTAAATGTCATCGTCAAAGAGAGTGACAACATGGGCTTATGCCTAAACATCAAGAAAACCGAAACAATGGTGATAAGCAGTAAAACTCAAACCCCAACAAGCAATATCAAAATCAATTATACAACTCTCAAGCAAGTACAACATTTTAAATATTTGGGAACCATGATATCATCAAATGGGAGATGTCACACCGAAATTAAAAGCCTCATTTGCCAAGCAAAATCAACCTTCCACAAAATGAAACAGATACTAACAAAAATCAATCTGTCACTTGAAACGAGAAAAAGAATACCGAAAAGCTACTTCGAGCCAATCCTGTTACACGGGTGCGAAGCATGGACAATCGATAAACAGCTGGAAATAACAATTGTGACGACATAGCTGTGGTTCATAAGATGCATGCTACGTATCCCATGGACAGCTAGAAAAACAAATGAAGAAGTCTTGGTTGAAGCAAATTGTAGAAGACAGCTTATGACGAATATAAGGAAGCGACAAGCAAATTTCTTCGGACACACAATGCGGAATGAAGTATTGGAGAATATTGTAACAACAGGCAAGTTTGATGGAAAGATGGGCAGAGGCAGACAGAGGGAAAAGATACTGAACAAGATGACAACATGGCTAGGAGCAGCAAGAACAACAGACACAATTGCTGCAACGCAAGACGAAGTGAAGTGGAGGTCCATGATCGCCCACTCCAGTCGGCAAGGCACCGGGTGATGAGCCTAACCATGTTTATAAAACATTAATAGGACCCCTTCTAAGAGAAAATGCAGATTTTTTTGAAGCAGATAACTTGTTCTCTTGTTACTTTGGGTTATTTTGAAGTCGATAAGTCTTTCTCAAAGGTAAAGGTAAATGGCTATCATATTATGTCTCGAGATGTGTCCTTTAACTTTAACAAATCCTTTCGGTTAACCAGAGTCAGTGGGTAGTTGGCAGGTGCTCTGGTGTGGTTTGCTCCTTCTTTCCTATCAAACATTTGCCATCCTTATATCTCATCCTTCTATTTTGTGTTTGTTACTCTGTTATAACACCCCTAATCTTTGCCACTCATATGACTTCTAAAACTCACCTGAGTCATCAGATTATTATCGTCATGACTCATGTCAGTGATGAAGTGGAACAGAAATTTCCTCTGCTGCCGGTACATGAGGAAGATGTCTCGGAACCAGTTGAGCCACACTTTGCTCTGAGTCTGAGAACCCAAGCAGTGCGAGGTGAAGCGCTTGAAAGTAGGCGTGGCCGCCAGGTAGAAGGGGCGGGGATAGAAGTCGGTGGGCTGATCTTTAAAGCCGAGCATACGCCAGTTGAAGGGGGCGCTTTTAGGGGCGGCATTCGCCCATGACGTCAAGTAGCCCGCCTTTTTCATGTCGTGCCAGATGAAAGGGAACTTGTCCAGGGTGGTGGCGCCCTTAAAATTTACTCTGGTGAAACAGAAAGGTGTACGGTCGAACCAGATTAACAACGATGTCTAAACAACAGCAAGTGATTCCACACCCCCTCCCCGGGCTACAAAAAATTGTCTCTAAATTATGGAAGTAAGAAAACTTATGGGTAGAGTCTTGCGTTAGCAGGCACAAATCTGTCTCCTATAACCCTTCCTCCCTCCTTTCCCCTTTCAACTTTTGAAAAATAATTCCCCCATTCACATGAATAGACTCATAGACTGTACTAGCTGGGCCCCCTTTCGATGAAAGGAATGATCGGTGCATTAACATAACTGGATATCATTGGTCTACTACATTTACACTCTACTGGAATGGAGCAATAAATCTTGAGAGAAAAGTGACACATGTGTTTCCAAGTTGCCAAATATATAATAGAAGCATAGATTGATTCTCTATTCCGCTTTCGTGGTTGTATAGAAGCGTGTTGATTGTTTCCAGTAGCAAAAAAAAGAATTTGACAAAGGAGTCCAGAAAAAGCGACGGTGGGCATCAAACGAAAGGATCACAGTCGAATTTAGCACCAAGTAAAAAAAAGAAAACATGATTCTAGATCTATACGGGTCGCACAGTTAAAATAGTGCTCAGTATTGCGCGATAATGCGCGATAGTATCGAACGGAAGTGCGACTTGAAATAAACCAAAGATAGTACAAGACAAGATGGGCCACTTCTCTCTTTGAGCCAATTAAAAAAGTGTCCTCAAAATTTGGTGGCGCCCTCTTCACAAAAGCGCACTCTTTGCGAACAGAGTTACCCTACTTGAGTTTTAAAAAATCAAAGTGAAACTAGCAAGTTTTGGGATAAATTTCGGAAGAACGCTTTTTAAAAATGGTTACGCTGACAAAAAACCTCTTCCGGAGGAAAAGGAGATGGTTTTCTTCGTTTAATTTGACTTTAGAATGAAGGGCGAGAGGTCATTAAAATAAAATAAAAACTAAAACTCCCCACTGAACGTACCCGAACTGCTGATGAACAGCAGTCGATCTGCGCACGCAAGGAGGTGCTATTCCTATTCTTCTTCTGGAAAAACGAAAGAGAGCTTCAAAACAGACTGCAGCGCCATCTGAAGCAAAGAGCATACTTCCTGCGGACACTTTTTAGGCTGAGTGGCCCATCTTGTCTTGTACTATCTTTGAATAAACAAACCTGGCGGTGAAATAAAGAAATTTAGCTTTTTGCAGCAAAACTGTCTTAAAACTGGAAAAAAAAACCGAAGAGTGTCATGATCTGGGGAATATTTTAAAGAATCTTTTGGCGAAAACTGCATGTCGATCGATGAAGCCATTAAAAAGCCTTTTGAATAGCAAGATTCGGCCACCACAAATAGATTATAGATGATGGTAAATTACAAGTGATGTACGCCCCCTTCAACACTTCAAATCATCCTTTATTGTGTTGTCCTTAAATTGCTTTTCTTTTGTTTCATTTGTAAAATGTTGTTCTTTGTTTTGTTTTTTGTTTTGTTTTTTGGGTTGCAGTTGTGTTTTTTTGTGTTTTTGTGTTGTTGTTGTTGTTTTTGTTTTTTTTGGGGGGGGGTTGCTTTCCAATCTCTGATTCGTTGCGCTGTGTAGAGTTTGTTGTTTTCAAATACCCGCTTTCGGGACACAATGAGGTTAATTTTTAAAAAACTGAGTTTTCGCAAGAAGAAACAAAAATGAAAGGGGGGGGGAATAATATACCAAATAATGTCGTTTGCGTGAAAACATTGGTTAAAAACTAAAATGAAATAATTCGAATTCATACTCTTTATGTGTCTAATATCTAAGTACATTGGCTTGAAGGCAACTGACAAAACGGTTCGTTTAATACAGTGGGTGGTTGGCGGGTGCTTTGGTGTGGTTTGCCCCTTCTTTTCTAACAAACATCTATCGTCCTTATCTCTCCTCCTCCTTTTTTATGTATGTTACTCTTTGTAACACCTCTAATCTTCGGCACTTATATGACCTGAGTTGCAAGTGCCGTAAAACTCTTACTAAAACTAAACTAAAAGCTATGGGAACAAAACGCTGTCTGCTTTCTGCCTGTCTGTGTGTTTGTCCACCTGCTCGTTAACTGGTTATCAACCAGATACTCTAACGTCGCTTTTTTTCTAGATAAAACAACCGACTGGCAACGGCAGTCTTTCCACTGACCAGTACAGAAGACGACGAACATAGAAAATCGAATGTGCGCTCACTGACACTAAGTTTTTGCAACGCACACCCAACTAATGAGTCTTATTAGGTGCTACAAACATATCAATTGTGTGACAACGCGGAGGAATCAGGCGATCCAGCGTCAATTTTTAAGCATGTGGAGTTACTGGTATAATATTATAGCTTGTTCATTTGTCTTGCTTTCAATGAAAAAAAAATTCCATCTATCGTAACAAGTCGAGATATTTGCAATAGAAGGAGATGGGGTAGAATTGCTACAAAATGGCCGCGAAAGTTTGATGATTTCCTTGGCTTGAGAGTCCTTGGAAACTGAAAATTTCTTCTTTTTTGTGCCTTTAAACGGCGTTTTTTAAAGAAAAATCCACACAGAAACGTATTTTCAAATGGATATAAAAAGTGTTGAGGAAAAAAAATCTCAGAATATTTGTGTCACTGTCTAGTTGATATATTTGTACATTTATAGAAATATGGGGGGAAAGTAAAAGAGAGAAAGAAGGAAAGAAAGGAAGAGAGAGAGAGATAGAGAGAGGGGGGGAGGGAGAGAGATAGAGAGAGAGACAGAGAGAGAGAGAGAGGGGG